CTCTCTCTCTCTCTCTCTCTCTCTCTCTCTCTCTCTCTCTCTCTCTCTTTCTGTTTGTCTCAGTCACATGTTCACTTAGTGAACATTTCATTTAACAAACTCGGTCACTGAACAAAGAGTGGGTTCATTTTTGTTATTTTTTAATGAATGACAGTAATAATACTATATATGTTTCCCAGTATAAATCAGACGAATTGAGCAGTTAATTTAGAAATATTTTTACTGTACTCACCACTATTAAAATTATATATGGTATTTTGTTTAGATTTAACTTAACTGAAGTGCCAGTTGAAAAAAAACTGGTTACTATTTAAATGACCTCTTCATTTGTGGCTTGTTTGTAGAAGAACACAGGAAGCCTTGAGTGGCCAAAATGAAAAATAAGTCAGATGTTAGAGGTTAAATTTCATTAAAGGTGCTAAGAGAAGAGATAATATAATTTTTATAATCATGATGGAGTTGAAGAAATTGATGCTGGATTTTAAAATTAGATTTTGAGCTGATTCCTTCCTTGATGGGCAGTCAAACACTTTATTCTTTCTGCATTGTACTGGTTTTTTTCATATGTCTACTTAGATCAGTGTTGGTGAACCTTTTCGGCACTGAGTGCCGAAATGGGAGCGTGCACCAAAAACTGGAAGATCAGGTGGCCAGTGCACATGCGTGTGCCAGAAACTAGAAGATCATCTTCCTGGCACGTGCATCAGCACTGGGCAGCTGGTCTTCTGGTTTCTGACACCCACATGCGTGAAGACCAGCTGGCCAGTGTGCTGGAACCTGGAAGAACAATGGGAGATGGCTCTGCGTGCCACTTCTGACATGCTTGCCATAGGTTTGCCATCACGGAATTAGATGGTTTGTTAAGAATATCTCTCATTCTAAGTATAGTCAGTCTTTGACTTACTAAACATTCATTAATTGACCATTCAAAATTCCAACTTCACTAAACAAAGGTGAGTTACAACTGGTCCTCGCACTTAAAAGTAGCATCCCCACAGTCATGTGATCAGAATTTGGGTGCTTGGCAACTGGCATGTATTTAGGATAATTGCAACATCCATATTATTGCCATTTTTGACTTCCCTAGCTGGCTTCCGAGAAACGAAGTCAGTGGGGGAAGCCATATTCGCTCAAAAGACCACATGATTGACTTCACAAGTGCAGTGATTCACTTAACAACTCTGACAAAAAAGTTCATAAATATAGGTATGACTCACTTAACAACTACCTTGCTTAGGAACAGAAATTCCAGCCCCATTTGTGGTCATAAGTCATTGTATAAGGTAGAAGTACCTTTTGTTACAATTGCTGCTAAATAATGGTGTTCCAATAGTTAGCAGATTTATATAATGGTGTTTGTAGGCATATCTTTACACTGAGCCTTTAAATGCACATAATAGGTGTGGAGCATGAGAAATATTTATGCCCATTTGGGATTTTAGGTGTGAGTCATCCAGTTCCATATTGATTGATCCTATTATACAAATCATGCAAATTTTTCAGCTAATAATTTTATCCAATGGCAGGCTGGGTTTTTTTCAACCAAGAAAAGACTTCATTGATCCCTGATCAAGACTATTGTCTAACCAATTATGTCTTCTCCCTAGTGCTCATTAGGTGTTGTTAAACTAGAAGTTGGAAGAATAAAAGCGAGTTCGTTCCATTCAGAGAGGAGATTGTCTCAGAGCAGCCAGGTTTGTAACTATTTGCACCGATTTCATTTGGGAAAAAAAGTCAAACCAGTTATTTGATATTTTAAAAAGGAAACAAGGAAAATTTGATTTTGTTCTGACATGACTTTTCTGTAGAATATGATCAAAGATAATAAAGCCCACAACTAAATTCCATAATTGGTTGAACAGACCCACGTTAAATATCTTTAAAAGTCATATTTAGGAGACCGGCTCACAAGTTGTAAATGTCAAAATTTATCTACCAATACACCGAACATCAAATTGTCATTTTTATCATTTTTGCTGTCGCAATTAAAGCAGAGTAAATCTTCAGAGCTGTATTAGTATAGAGATAGAGGGGATAGATCTGATCATCATCTCTCTAATGTCTTTACAATACCTCCAGTTAGGATAATTGCTTAAGAACTCTATTCTGTAAGGAAAATAATATGTGTCACATGGAATCACGAATGTTTCTTCAAATACATTTCTCTCTGCCTGTGTCCAATCTTTAAACCATACCAGATAATTTTCCAAATCCACTGTTATAGTTGAATATATTGTAGCCTGTATTATTTTTAGATCCAGATTTTTTATCTTTGCTCTTATAGAAAGCATGTACCGGATCCAAACTGGTAGGTATATTTCCAGAAAAATTATGTGTGATGCTAATATTAGATAGTATTGGCTTAGAAAGAAAGCAACGATTCCAGAATAATTTTGATGTAATTCTCTAAGGTCAGTGAAGGAAGTGGCAGCCTGACATCATTCAGTTTCCCAGGTGGTGTATCCAACCCGTCTGAAAGTTATGAAAGCACTCTGAAGCAGAATTGTTGTAAGTTTCACTAGTCATTATTTATATTGTTTATTATATTATATATTGCTGTGCTATAAAATAAATGAAGTTCTCATGTGCGCTGTTTGGGGAATCCAAACATGGTTAACTTTGTCCATTAGAAGAGAGACTGAGTTATGTAATTGTTGACCACACCTTCTCTGACTGGGATAGTTCAGTTTTTTTAACTCAGTCCAGCCTAAAGAGATGTAAAATAATTTGCTCTAGGATAATAAAAAAAATTAACATTCTTCAACTTTGGATTCTTCACTATGTTTGACTGATTATTTGTGGAAATTGGCGAGGCACAATTTGTGTTGTCAGACTGTTTCGGTGGGTGGCAGTTCACTGTTAGCCTCGACCTCATTGGAAACTTTCAGCAAGCCCTTTGAGGCTTTCGCAGCAGGGGGAGCTATCGCCTGCAGAGGATCGCAGTTGCGCTGTTTGACTTGTGTTCATGTTGTGGATGAGAGTAGGTCCGCTGCTCTCTGTTTCGCTTGTGACTGGGGTTGAGAGTCAGTTCACCACTCTTGCGCTGGTTGGGGTGGGCGCAATCCGCTTAATCTAGCGTGATCTGTTCCAGAGTGGCTTTGTTGCTTTGCCGCTGCTGCACCGCTCTCATTGCTGCTACGTTACCGCCATGATAACAGGATCTCTGAAGGTCTCTGGCGAGGAGCAGTGATTGTTTTGGAGTCAAATTTGAATTTCACGCTGTTCTTACTGGTGGTGGCCATTTGGGGAGCCGTTTGTTTTCGTGCCGAAAAAGCAGCCAGAAGGGGTGCGACTTGCAGTTTGTGCCCGATTTGCGGTGACATGTCAATGGCCTTGTTTGTGCTTGAGGAGGTTGGTTCACCGCTATTCCACTTCAGCACAAGCAGTTGTCCTTTCGATCTCAGCAGCCTGAGTCAGATTCGCTATTCATAGCAACGTATTCAATCTGATATTTGGATGTGAGCTTGAGCTTTTCAACTCTCTCTCCCTCTTAGTTATAATGGTGAGGCAGCGCTGGGGCCTCTACCTCTTCCCCGCTGCACTCTGAGACCACCGACGCCAGCACTAGGATTGGCATGGTCACCACTAGGGCCTCTAGCCATAGGGCTGATGCTTCATCTTTGGCTCCAGATAGGGCCGCTTAAGTGCAAGGACAAGGACAAGTCATCGGCCAAGGCATTTGGGTTGGTTCCCTGATCTCCCTATTCCCCAGGGGATAATGTCCAAGGAGGGGGTGTTGGGGACCCAATCTCCCCCTGCCCTTTCTGAGATTAGCCCAGCCTCGGCACCAGCACCCATGAGTTCAGGTACCATGGCTACCTTTACACCTATGGCTGCAGGGTTCAGACTTGAGGAAGGCCCCTAGTTCAGTCTTCCCCCCGAGTTTCAAAATATGATATCAGCAGCCATCTCACAGGGCATGGATGCGGAATTGCATCACAGGGCCCAACGGCCCAGGATACCTAATTTATCTAGGGACCTCTCTACCTCCCAGGGTGACCCTACATCACCCCTGCCCTCGATATACAGCGAGGGTTTGATGCTGGGCGAGGAGGAAGAGGTGGCTTACCAAGAATTTTTGGATGACAAGGACGTAGTGCAGGACAAGCGTACCTTTTCCGGGTTGTGTCATCTGGCCTTATTTAAATCATTTTTATACAAGGCTAAGGCTACTACCCACCTGGGGGGGCGCTACTACTCAGGCTAGTACTGTGGTGGGGCTTTACTTTACATAATGTCTTTTTGCTGAACAGGTGCAGGAACAGGATGTCATTCCCTTTCCGAAACTGTTCCTTGACATTGTCCAAAAACAATGGACGCTGTCCCTCCACCTAGTAACGGTGACAGGAAGCTTTATAGTTCCACACCAGAGCTGGATGGAATCCTTCAATTCCCTACAGTAGACCCACTAGTAGTGGCCTTGACCTCCCCAGCTTTGATTCTGTCCAAAATTTCAGAAGGTCTTAAGGCTGAGGACCATAAGGCCGAATTGGTCATACATAAAACACACCAGGCAGCTGTGTGGGCATTGCGAGCCGCTACAACGGCCTCGTTTTTCAATAGAACTTCATTGGTCTGGCTCAGGCAGCTACAGTCCAGGCTTGCCCCTGATGATATGCGCCTCCATCAGGATATCAACAAATTGGTGGCGGCATTAGAGTTTTCTTCTGATGCTACTCTCAACGTGGCCAAGTTCGCGTCTCGAGCGATAGCATCCAATGTGGCATCCCGCCTCCTCCTTTGGCTATGCCATTGGCAGGGGGACTTACGCTCCAAATGGTGCCTAGCATCCACCCCCTATGTGTTTGGTGCCGCGTTGGACCCTATCTTAATCAAGACTAAGGACAAACAGAAGGTGCTCCCATCAATCAACAGACGCACAGACAGGAGACAACAACCTTACAATAGATAGCAGTCCTTTCATGCTGGGGACTCTGGGTATAACACAGTTCCATATATTCTCCAGTATAACAGGCCCTATACACAGACACAGGACAGGGCCCAGGACCGTTCCGCTGCCAGGGATAGAGGCCATCAACAGAGCCAGCAACAGCCTCAGGCCTGGTGGCCATTTTGTGGCACCAACAACTGGTCATTTCGTAGATACTGGTGACTTGCATGAGGTGGGGCCTATTGGTGGATGTTTAACAGCCTTTTCTCACCAATGGGGAGAAACCACCTCAGATGCCTCCAATGCAGAGCCCTCGTCTGAGCCTTCCCCAGCCTCCAGGTCTGGCCCATGCTTCTCCCCAACCTCCTCACTGTCTAACTCTGCTGCTAGTTCCACTGGCTGATGGCGGGCTACAACAAATTGCAATGGCAATTAGGACTGGGATTTCCATTGCTAAGCAATGCAGTCGTAAAGTGTCACTTTGTGTGAGTGCATTGCTTAGCGATGGCAATCTCTGCAATTTGTGTTGCCATAGTTAAGCAAAGATTGTGAGACATTAAGTGAGGAACTGCTTGCAACTTCCTGCTGCCTTCCAACCAAAGTCAGTGGGGAAGCTGGCAGGAAGTCACAAATCGTAGGTACCTTGCAAGCAGGCTAGTAAATAGGTACGTGACTGCCACTGGGTGCGAATGGGTGCAAGGGAGTGTGCGGGTGGCTGGGGAGACATGGTGCAAGTGCAGTTGGGCTTGGGATGGCTGCATTTGGGTGAGGGAGGTTAGAGAAGGGTTTGCGAGTGTGGGTGAATCAAAGTATGAGTGTGGTAAGGCTCAGGGAGTGTATGTTGACTGTAGTGGAGACGCAGAATGAATGCAGTGAGGCTCAGCAAGGCATACTAGCAAAGCAAGGCATAGGTTAATTGCTGCTTGTGGAGAAGAATGCATGAATGGCGAGGGAAATACAACATCAGCACAGCAAGATTTGGGAAGGAGTGTATAGTTGAGGGGAGCAAAGTTCAAGCTGAAGAAGGCTCAGTGAGGTGGTAGCAAGTAGGGGAGGCTCAGTGCAAGCACAAGGTTCCAGGCGGGCACTCAAGGGTGTGTGGGTGGTCATTGAGACAAGTGCAGAGGGACTGGAAGCTGGTATGGGGGAGACTTAACTGAGCAATTTGTGACCTTCCCTGCTTGTGGGAAGGCAGCAGGGAAGGTTACAAATCATGATCATATAACTGGGGACATGGCAACTATCATAAGTTCTAGACAGTTGCCAAGCATCCAGATTGGAATCACATGAGCGTGGAGGTTCAAATACAGTAAATGATATTTTGTCCAGGCATTTTTATAATACAGCCAAAGCATTTTTTTTCCAGTATTGCAGAAAGGAGATGAGCACCAACCTAAAAACATTTTTCTATGTCTGCTCTTGAAACAGTAGCTATTGTCTATGGATGACAATATATTTTTTTTCTGCTCTAAAAATAAGGCAGCCTTTTAAAATGCATGAAAATTCAGTAGTTTGAAATAAAAAATTACAGCCATAATTTCTGTGTTTTAATAGTGGCGTCTGAAATACAAGGATTGAGAACAGTTGAAATAAAAAAGGTAAGTAGGTTGCAGCATATTTAATAAAATAAGAAAGCCTTGGAGGAAAATGCAATGAACAAATTTTTCCATAAATAACTGGGTTTTAAAAAGGAACTTTTGAATTTATACTAAACATCACGTTTTTCATCATGTGGTTTAAGATTTAAAAATATTTTTTCTAACTTTTTTTGTGATTGTTCCCTTAATTAAGAATGACATAAGCTTTATTCTTAAGTATCTTTTATCTTTTAGAATTATGATTATTGCTTTCTCTTTTTATTTAAAAAGAGACCTGTTGTTCATAATATGAATATTTAGACATCTGCAGGGAGGTGTTTTTTTCAAAACATAATTATTTTAAAAAATATGGTACTTCCCTGGTCCACTTCATATTACAAGGCACCCAATTCAGTTTGATAGAAATTTCAGAGCCTGTTCACCACAGAACAGCGCAGGCTTGTTATTCAGGAAATGGAAGCCCACAGCTCCCTTGAGGATGCAAAATAATTTGCATGGTAGTCCATATGGGTGATGTTTGTTCATAAACTTCATATTATTTTGAAACATAACATTGTAGGTATGTGTACACATGTGCGTTTGTGTATGCACCAGCAAAGTAAGAGTAACAAATCTTAAAAACCTGCTTTAAAGAAAGATTTCTATGAAGCACACGGTGGCTCAGTGGCTAGAAAAATAGGGACAACCTTGGTGGGAAGGTAACAGTGTTCTGTGCGCCTTCAGTGTTTAGTTATGCCAGCCACATGATCACGGAGATGTCTTCGGACAGCGCTGGCTCTTCAGCTTTGAAACTGAGATGAGCATTGCGCCCGACAGTCGGGAACAAGTAGCACATATGTGTGAGGGGAACCTTTACCTTAATTTTCTAAAGAAAGCTTTTAAAATGTACAAAAGGATCAGAGGAAGTAAGCTGCGCTGCTTCCTTTCCACTATATAATTTTTTATGAAGAAGCATGATTCTTCTACTACCCAGTTACTTTGGAGAGGGCATAAGAGGTGGTCATGCCACCTGGGCCTTTAGATGTTGATGCTCAAATCCTTGAGCTCCCGGGCAAGTTTCCAGGGGCAAGTTTTGATCTTGTCTGCAGCAGCAAATTAGCTCTGATGAAAACTGTCTGCTAGAGTGACTAATGTTAAAATAACCATCAGTGGTAAGGTTCACAAATAGTTGTGTTCATTTTAATCAAACACAGTGATTGACTGATTACTTTTTCATCAAGTATGATGAGTTAGTAGCTCTGCCCATATTGTAGCTTTGGCTAGAATTTGAACTATTTTTGAATGATTACGTGCCATAGGTCAGTGTAGACCACTGACTTAACTAGGGAATAGTAGATAATCATTTTTCTTATTTTTGTATCTGGTATGTAGTACTGTTTCAATATTACAATATGGGGAAAATTTTGATACATAAATCGCTTGAATACCCATTATAATTTCTTCTAGCATTACATCCTTCTGAAATGGTTTTAGTTACAATGTTTTTTTTTAATTAGACATAGCTTTTGAAACTGCTGTTTATTTAACAGGCCATTGTTGTAGGTAAAAACATACACTAGAGGGAGCATGATTTTATAGGATTGTAGTACTTCCCTAAAATTGCTAATGAAAAGGTGTATTTCATGTGCAGTAATGACATTTAAACATTCATATTTTATGTTTCTTAATGAGATAGAAAGGATATTCGCAATAAAGTAGGAATCAAACTAAAAGCTAATGCATGTTGAAATCACTCAAGATAGGGGACAACCAAAGAAATGAATATGTATTTTGTATTAATGTTTCCTTGTAGTTCTCAAAATGTTCACAGACTCTTGCATTTACAGACATAAACATTTGAGCCAGTTATTCAAATACTTATTATAGCTTTCGCATTTTGGAGTGCAATTTAGATCAGTCAAAATCTCCCATAGTCTGCAACCAGTATGGAGTTGAGAAAAAGAATTACCTTTTTTTTTTGATCACACAGAATATATCACAAGTAAATTTTATTCAGGCTCTCCTGGTAAATACATGGAAAACAAAGTAATTAAGTTAAAATAGAAATAAAGCAGCAAAACAATAAGCACATATAGTATTTCTCGTTGCTCTCTGGAGGAGCTTTTGATTCTTATGAAGGCAGTCAAAGAGTTAATCTGATGTCTAAGGGGAAGCTATTTCTGAAGAAAATGTAATAAATTCAAAACACTATGATCCTCAAAAGTAACTCCATACCAAGTGATTTCCATTTCAGGTGAATAGTGATGAGTCTTGAGTTATAATATAGCAAGCAGTTAGGCCTCCTACCTGCTGCAGATAGGAATGCAGCTGACACACGAAAGAAAGCTGGATAGCAGCCCTCCTGGCAACTGCCTCCATGTTTCCTTCTTTGTTACTCCCTTTTGGTTTGTGAGGTAAATTGGCCATGGGTTTTGAAAGATTAAAAATAAGGTCAGAGTTTCTGCTTACCCTTTCATGCCCTGTAAGAGTTATAATGACTATAAAGTCTCACATTGTGATTCTTGAGGTTACTGTATTAACACCTAAAATTTAATTTTGTGTTCTACATTAAGGCAAAGCCAGCTAATCTGTCATGATTAGAAAACTGCCTCTACCAACAGAACAAAGTAAACTTATATTTTATTTATTTATATTTCCTATTCCTAAACCACCCATCTCTCCCTGTTGTTTGTGTTTGTTCTAACAGGGTCCTTCAGATTCTTTGGGAGTTAGTATTGCTGGAGGAGTAGGAAGCCCTCTTGGTGATGTTCCCATTTTTATAGCCATGATGCATCCAAATGGAGTTGCAGCACAAACCCAGAAATTGAGGGTAAGAGGAAAACAGAAAATGTTATGATACCATTCTTGCTTCAAATAACCTGATCCAATGATGTTTTTATTTGCATGTTAATCAGCTAAGGCAATGGTAAGTAACTTGTGGGTGGCTGCTTGTGGCCTCTAGCCACTGTGTAAAGCTTCCAAATCACCTCAAATCATATTATTAAAGTTCAGCAAAAGAACTTTCAATTTTAAGTGACACAATGGTATGATTGTGTGCTTGTTTGGTTTGATGGTTAAAGATGCAAAATGAAAGTTGTAAAAGGGCCATTGTTGTGAGATGGGCAGTCATATAAATTATTTGAATAAATTAATAAAAGCTTTATGAATCCCAGAATGAATATCTATACTTTAATCTCCCATCTTCCTCCAAAAGCTGACAGAGCAATGCCTTGTGTGCCCTAACAAATGGCTCCGCGTGCCACCTGTGGCACGCATGCCATAAGTTTGCCATCATGGTTCTTAGTGGTAACTGCAGAAATGGGAGCAACTTTTCAATTTATCCAATGAAAATGTTTTTGTTTCTGTATTGCCAGTGATTATCTTGTTTACAGGGAGTCCTTGACTTAAAACTGGTTGCTTAGCCACTGTTTGGCATTATGACAGAACCCCCAAAATTAACAGCGACTCAGTCACCCACAGTCATGTGTCCACATTTCGGGTGCTCAGCCACTGGCCTGCAGTAACATGACTACTATTTATAACATTTTCCCCAGAAACTGATCTTTACTTCTATTTTCTGGCAAAAAATGACCCATAATAACCAGTAGATTTATGACCACCACATTCACTTAGCAACCATGGCAGAAAAGGTCATTAAATCAGAATGCCCTATTTAACATGGTGATTTACAATTGTAATTGGAGGGTCATTTATGGTCTTAGCTGTAGAACTATCTGTACCAATCAAACTAAGCCACTAAGTTGTACAGTTTTATGTCACAAGGCCCAAATCCAACCAAATATGAGTTATTTATAACAACTAAAGCAACTGCAATTTATTATATTCAAGACCCACTTTTTAATTTTGGAAACATGGAAGATATTTCCAGTTATTAACATTGAGCAAGGGCTTGGTGGTATATATTGGGACACAATAATAATTTTTGCTTGTTTAAGAAACACCCTTATGCTTGCAATTTAATGGGAAAGAAAGTGTTAAGTAATGACTTGGAAATAATTTGCTATGAAACATTATTCCTCTCTTCCTCTCACCCCCACCTCCAATATATCTCACTTTCATCATCCAGGTTGGAGATAGGATTGTGAGCATTTGTGGAACATCCACTGAAGGCATGACTCATTCCCAGGCTGTCAGTTTGTTGAAGAATGCTTTGGGCACCATTGAATTACAGGTAGGAATGTTGCCTGCAACTTAACCGTGACCCGTCAAAAGCGCGGAGGACAAAATCGCGCTCGACGAAAGCGCGCATGTGACGTCATCACAGCGCGACGGAAAAAATTAAAAATTGAAATAAAATTAAAATTAAAGCAAGCCAATTCACATAAAGGTAAGGGTTAGGTTTAGGGTTAGGTTAGGGTTAGGTTAAG